ATGCTTGATTTTATCTCTTAAAATTTTCAGATACGATAAAAGGGCACATTTCTCTAGATATTGGTGTATAGTTTTCTCAAAAATTTGAGCAAAACAAAATTGTCGACCTACAAAAAAATCGGAATGTCCCTTTAACATAATTGTGTGGGTGTTAGTTAACCTTGGCTGGCAAGTTATCATTCATAATTAATTAAGGTAAATAAATTATAAGAATATGTCTGTGTCAAGACCTGTTTAACGATCTTTTGCAGATTAATATGTGCTAGATAAAAGTTGACGTCAGAGCACCGACCTTCGTTAATAATGAAACACTTCAATTATAGTGAAGGGAGCTAAGTGTAAATCAACTCTCAAGATGTATTGCATGAAAATAATTCTTGTAGAGATTCAAAACAACGTTGATATATTAAAAATATGTCTGGAAGTTTTTTTTTATCGTACTCCTGATAACGAAGTGAGATGAGGAAACCAATTGGAACGTTAAAATTTTTTAAAACAAGGCTTTATGCCTATACTATCCATAAATATTATACCTTATGACTGCACAATCTGTTTGTTTTCTCTGCCATTGAAATTTAAATAGTATTGTTCTCTTCATCATATCACGGACAAGGAATAGACAACGTACGATTTCCGATGAGACGTAGGGTTAGCATTGTTGATACCATTCTTGGTAGATTCCGTACATCCGAATCTACATCGTATATGAATACGAAACTACGTATGGTTGTTACATGGAATTAACACACGAACGTAGTTTACGACCATTTTGAATCTTTACCTCGACTTAATAAGTCAAATTTCGATAAAGGTTGAAATATTCAACTAAGCCTTCTCTTCCCCTATTTCGCCACGAATTTTATTTTCTGCCACCTGACCGCATTGTTATAAAGTCCTTGGTAGGTTTGGGGTTATGTCATTAAGTATAGGCAGAAAGTTTCGATGAACATCCTATTGCTTCCTATACTCTTGGTTATGGGTTGGATATTCTTTATGTTTAAAGTAGTTAGAAAGTTTCGATGAATATCATATATCATATTGTTTAAACACTGGTTTGTTCTGTTGACAATTGGCTATTTCTACTTCAATATTGAGAGTACAAAGTGAATGATAATGAGGTAAGGTGAATTAGCTTATCGGGATTGTATTTACACCCAATAATCGCTAGTAACTAAAAAGTAATCGGTATGCGCTAAATGAAAATACTAAACAAACATTATTGATTGTATGAACTCTCTAAAATACCTACGCGAGCATAGCGCATGGCGTTTTGTATATGTTTTTGAAGTTATAAGCAATGGCTTTTAATATATCCTGGTAATTGTTTGACAATCTTCAGAAGATCATAATTGGTTTAAAACGTAGACTTTGCCATTCTGTAACAGTCGGTGGCATTATATTACAAGTACTTGAGAACGAAAGACATTTTGAACTATGGACACTACAGTCGTTGGTATCTGAAACCATGGTCGATAATATTCTGCAGAAACTATGGTCGATGGTATTCTGAAACTATGGTCGATGGCATTCTGAAAGTTTGGTCGATTGTATTCTGAAAGTATGGTCGATGTCAATTTTTAAAATATGGTCGATGGCATTCTGAAATTTGGTAGGTGACATTGTGAAACTATGCTCTATGGTATGCTGAAACTGTAGTCGATAGTATTCTGAAACTGTGGTCGATGGTATTCTGAAACTGTAGTCGATAGTATTCTAAAACTATGGTCGATGGTATTCTGAAACTGTGGTCGATAGTATTCTAAAACTATGGTCGATGGTATTCTAAAACTGTGGTCGATAGTATTCTAAAACTATGGTCGATAGTATTCTAAAACTGTGGTCGATAGTATTCTAAAACTATGGTCGATAGTATTCTAAAACTGTGGTCGATAGTATCCTAAAACTATGGTCGATGGTATTCTAAAACTGTGGTCGATAGTATTCTAAAACTGTAGTCGATAGTATTCTAAAACTATGGTTCATAATGTTCTGAGATTATGATCAATCAAATTCTGAAACTTTGGTTCATTAAGCATTATTTTTTTCTCTGCATAAAGTATGCAAATTACGTACTTATTATTGCCTCATGTATCTTAGTGACTTTCCAGAATAAAGGGAAATTAACCTCCGGAATTATAGGATAGAATTTCGGCAAGCACAGTCCGAATGATGTGACTGAAAAACGCTAATACCAGCCAAATTTACAGCTCAAGAAAAGTGAAAAGTGTAGGATAGTTTTGATACTTCTAATTACCAAACCTGGAACATTAGTTGGGTTAAGACACTAAAATGTCCTACCATCTGTACAGCCGTGACAACCCCTTTAACCCATGTGTGGATTAGTCTATTCAAACCATTACCTTTATCGACCTGTACGTTAATCGGCCATTTTAATAAACATAAAACGGATTTTAACTTTCTATTGTAGGTCTAACTGTATCTACAACTAGCAACCAAACCTAGCAACGATTCATTTAAATAATCTAACAATTGGGTAAAGAACAAACATAGTAACTCGGCTGGTTAGGAACAAAACTAAGTGGCCGTAGATAAAGTGGATTAAACGATTAACTCATTGATTCTCATTTGTTTTAGCCACCTAATAAGTAGTTGGACATGATAGCCAAGGTTGGTTTTTAAAGGTAATTTGATATTTATATTTTTTTATTCTTATATAGAATTTCATGTGAACAGATCATTTGATTTTTTTTTGGAACTTGGAATTTTAAGGTAAAATAATCTTTAAGATGTGACGGTCTTACCTATCATATAGAATTGTTTTGAGTTAGTATATAAGTTAATTTATTTACCATTTTATACTATTCGACTTATCATCATACATTTTGGGTTTTTTTAATACTGATTTAATTCTAGTAATTTTAACTTTGTTTACTGGATTTTATTTTAAAAAATATATAATTAAATCATTATGTAAAATGCGAACATCGCTGTAATCAAATTTGAAACAAAAACAATTAACCATGTCGTTAGCAATCCACCATGAAAGGATGTTATTCAAATTAGTGTATTACGACTTAAGATTCAGAGAAGAGACTTGTACTAATGGAACTCCAGCTTTTCAAAATTTTAGAATTGCTAAGGAAATTGCTCTGAATGATTATCTGATGTGGCTTATATCTGAATTTGATTTTCTTCCCTAATTGAGTATTATTTAACCTTATGTCATGATAAAACTATATTAAGCCCCTTTGACTAAATGAAGTGAAGTCAAGATAAGTGTTTTACGTCAGAGTAAATTATTCAGAGTAAGAAAACATAGATAACATTTAATGGGAAGGTCGAGTAAATCCTAAATTACAAATTCATACATATATAAAATAATATATAGACACAGCTTTATGGAACAACAATCACTCATCACACAATCACACAATCATCATGTGCCTGAGGACGACGGGGGGAAACACGTCGAAACGTTGCATAAAACGTTAACCAGTGATTGTTGTTCCATAAAGCTGTGTCTATATATCGTACTCACAATTGCTAAATGCCATTCAAAGACTTTATATAAAATAAGGCTTTAATATGGGAATACGATAAGGAAGTAAAGTATAAAAAGTTCACTTATGAAAGATAGACCGCGGTCCTCAAATTAAGTATACAAGATTTAAAAAATAGGATGAACATTCCTCCCCTGAATAATTTAACCTTTAATTACGAAAATTACAAGTGATCTCGAAAATACATAATAATTTCCTACTGTTTCATTGTAACATTCGACAAGCGTACGCCTTTGATCTCGATCAGATATTTCCTCTTTGTATTGTTGCTGAATGAAGCGAACTGTGCATTATCTTACTATTATTTTGCCAAATCTCACCTCATGGAAACCATCAGGGAAACTGATATTGAATTGATAATTAATAGGTTTGATGTCGGTTCAGTCATTCATTCATTGGAAAATTCAAACAGACATTTAAAATGGTTGGCTTTTCTGCAATATAATATATAAAAAAATCAAACATATAGGCCTATCTTAAAATTACTGGAATATATCTGTAAAATTGTAATTTTAGAATCATTATAAAAGACTCAATTCATTAGTTGAAATGCTCCCTCATGGATACTTGTTTTTTCTCATCATAATATAACGTGATCAGTTCCCCCGCTTGAACTATTGAATTTAATTAAATATTTTTTTCATGAATTACGTCCCTTGAACTTTTAAAATTTATCAGTCAAATCATTAATTTATTTTGTTTGTACATTCCTATTTGTCATGCTTGTTGTGTATGTTAAGCATGTTTGACGGATGTGGTATGCTTGCTATTCTAAGCACCTCATATCACTTATGATTGATATACTTCCTCATGTGAAGTAGCGCCCTTGGTTTATTTATTGTAGCCTAAAAGAAAATCCTCTTATAAAATACAATGCATAGCCCAAATCTAAAATTGCGAGAGAATCTTTCTTTAAAACAGAAGGAACAGCTGGCTTCATAAGAAAAGATTCGAATCAGAATTATTAAATTGCGCGAGAATCCTCCTTTAAGTTTTATGATATTAATCCGAGTATAATTGTACAAGATCGATATAAAGAATTGTACAATTTCTATAATGATCATATTTACAGCGATTTGGTATCGATTTTTGTTCAATAAGGTGTCATGAATAGACTTGAATTATTTTATAATAGTGTATAGGCCTACCATATGACTCGCTGTCACCATAATAATTATTTAAACCTTTTGCTTAGTATGTGTTCGTATGTAATTGTAACTCATATTAAAACATGGATGAATGAATGCGATCAGATCAGTAGGCCTATAGCGTAAAGTCAAATTATTTTATAAACTGCTCTAGACATAAAAACCTATAAGGACGTTAATCTAACTAAGTAATGTACATTGTCTTACATAACTTTTTGACCAAAATCACAGGCCATTGCTTTCATTGAGACAAACAGATAGTAATATTCAGAATATTTGTCTACTTTCAGCTGAAATCAACAATACCATGACTTCCATTAAAAATTTTCGTATGAGGATAGATATTGAGGATCCGCTGTATTATGGTATGAAAAAACTTAAAATTCGCGGAAAGGATCTCAAGAATTTATCAGATGCCATATTTCATTTGATCGAGTTAGAAGTTTTGGATCTAAGTCCAGAAAGAGAATCATGTTTGGACTATAAACTTCCAGGAATTCCCGCTTCCATCGGGAAATTAGTGAATTTAAAAGTGCTAATGATTGACACAAATGACTTGACGACTTTGCCCAAAGAAATTGCCCTCTTGCAGCATTTGGAACGAGTTGCCTTGAGTAATAACAAACTTTCCAAATTACCGGACGAGTTCGGCAATCTTCGACATTTACGAAGTATTCATTTAGCCAATAACGATCTTTATGAATTTCCGGTCCAACTTCTGAAACTCAGAGATTTAGAATTTCTGGACCTGAGCGACAATCACATCACCGTGGTTCCAGAAAATATAGACAACCTTAAAAAACTCGAGACTTTGCTTCTGTTTATAAACGACTTGACAAAGCTGCCAGAATCGGTCTGTAAACTAATTGAATTACGGACATTGTGGGTTGGTAACAATCGAATTCGTCAACTTCCTAGAAATTTCGGCAAACTGATTCATCTAGATTGGGGACACCGCTATACTTCGTCGGCTCTGGATGGAAATCCCCTTGTACATCCACCAATAGAAATCTGTCGGCAAGGTATAGAAGCCATAGATAGATACATGACCTCTTACGAAAAGAAGTCCAAAAGAAGTCCACGCAAATGAGAGGAAGTGGCACCATCTCGCCATTAATTAGACACTATCTATCTATTATAATGTGCTACTTTAAATATATACATGTATAATAAAATAAAGTTCTTTTTGTCCTAAAACTTTGTTTTACTCGAATTTAAAAAAAACACTGTACCATACAGTGGTGTTCTGTAAACGTTTCATTTGAAGCTAATTATAGTGGCATTACTGAAACTGCTGAGATAAGAAGGAAGAGATCGTCAAGTCAATAACGTCAGTGTGTTAGTGGGCGATCAAAAAGCACTATGGAACGCTATATCCATTTTTGTTTTCTCTAAAGATATACCCTTTAAAGTTTTTTTTAAGGAAAAATCTCTCAAAAGTTAAAAAAAAAGGTGTGAAATTTGATTTGCTATTGAGAACATCTTGTCTTCTGACCCAGAACATTGAAGACAGCTTGCCAGGCAAGGTAACATACGCACACTTCCAGCTATCAGAAATAATAACAAAGCCTTTAGTGGCTTCATATTGAACTCAAAGCAAAATCTCAAAAACATGAACAAGGTCTTATCGATGTAAACACAAGGGAAATAACTCTGAAACTCATCATCCAGCTTTTGACCAATTTCGAAACCGAGATCTCAAAATATACATGCATACCAAGTTTCCTTAAGATCTGATAAAAACTGTAGTCTCAATCTCTACAAGCAAAATTTGACAGGTTTTTACATGCATATATATCAAGTTTCATCAAGATCTGAGCCTCTATCGTGTCTACAAGCCAAATCTGACGCGTTTTCACTAAGTAAAGGGCAATAACTCCGCAACTGTTCATCGATTATTACTAAATTCGATCTTGACGGCGATCTCATCAATATATACATGCATACCAAGTTTCGTCAAGATGGGATGAAAACTGTAGGGTCTATCGTGTCTACAAGAAATGTGGCTGGACAGACCGACGGGCGGACATTTCCATGTGGGCATATAAAAAAAACTAATTTCTGCATACGGTGGCGTCGCCAGAGAAGAGGGGGAAGGGGGTGCCGTTGGATGCTTATGCGCTCTCTGGAAAGCGTTTTCAAATGATATTTCCTAAAATAAAACAGAAATTGTATGAACTATATCTGCAGTTCTATAAACAATATTAATCGTGAATTTGGCATTTGTTCTTTATGTGCAAGATTGCCCTTTTCATCAAGTGTTGTCAAGTGTTTGTTTACAATCGGCGCCAAAGATGAAAATTTTCCTGTTCGATGTAAAGTATACTGAGAAATGTGAGTATGGTACCAGACCTTAATCTACCCGGGAATAATTGGTTCGTATCCTTACCTGTAGACTTATAACATCTTCTTTAAGGATGACGGTGTACAATGGTACAATTAGTGACTTGGAGAGATACAGACTGAGATCCGGAACGACCTAATTGGTACAATAACTGAGCATCTAAACGAACATGATGACAAGAAAAGAAAAGAACCTAATGATCTTTAATCTCCCAGAGCCTAACTCAGATAATCCAGAGGGGAGAAAATCTGAAGACAACGAACAGACACGAATTTGAAGAAATGGTCTGATGTAACATGTCTCTATAGAAGTCAGTCTACAAGTGATGAAAACTGTGTGCTATTGATCCAAACCATACAAAGAGACTGTACCAAATATGAGAATCTATTAATTATCGGTGACTTCAACTACAGGGACATAAACTTGGAAACGGAATCAACCACCCAACAACTAGGTACTAACACACATGAATTCCTCAACTGTAATCAAGACAACTTCCACATCCAACATGTGACAGAACCAACCCGTATCAGACACGGTAATATTCCATGTACCAAAGATGAATATCTTATAATTGACCAGCTATCTCTACCACCAATTGGAAAAAGCGACCAAACCAACCTTTTACTAACTATCAACGCAAACCCAGTGACGAAAGGCATACAGCAAGCATATTACAGGTACTACGAAGGAGATTACAATGAAATGAGAACCAGCTTAAAAGCACAGGAACACTGTAATTCGAGGCATGGACACCGACGAGATATTGTCAACATTCAAGAAAATCATGGAAGATTTGATTAGCAGACACATACCCCTCACCAAACCAAGTAATAGCAATAGGAAAAGAAAACTATGGTAAACAAAAGAAGAGATTACATCCCTGAAACTTAAACGAAAAACTAGGTATAACTATTGCAGAAATAAATCCAGCTACAAATACGAACAGTTTAGAGTATGAAGAAATAAATCTACAGCATTCAGCCTGTAAGCAATACGAGAAGACCATAGCAGAAGGAATCTGAGAGAATCCACAAAAATTTGGGAAATACGTTCATTCCAAGACCAAGTCAAAAAATCCTATCAAGCACTTCACAATTCCTGATGGAATAACACTGACCCTAGACATAGAGGAAGCGATCGAATTGAACAACTACTTCCACCAACTGCCACCAACTCAAGAGGCAGCATGCAAACTGGAGACTCTAGAAATAACACCGGAGATGGTGAAGAAGAAATTTGACAAGTTAAACCAATGCCCACACTTTTTCAGACATCATTAGCAGAAGGCACACTACCTACAACCTGGAAAGAGGCTAACATTACTCCCATATTAAAAAAAGGCTCAAAACTAAACCAGCTTGACTAGCATAGTAGTTAAATCTATGGAATCCATCCTCAGAGACGTCATAATGTACCACCTTGAAAGCAACGGCCTAATTAGTGATTACCAATATGGATTTAGATTAGGACACACAACAGTCACTCAACTCCTAGAAGTGCTGGACTATCTGACAGAATCAATTGATAAAGCCAATCCCGTCGATATAATACTTCCAAAAAGCTTTCGACAAAGTGCCACACAAAAGACTTCTGATTAATCTTAAAGCCCATGGCATCCCTGGTCCTCTACTGAAATGGATCGAGAATTTTCTACATAACCGGAAACAAAGAGTAACTGTAAACCAAGCAAACTCCCTGTGGATGAAGGTCGACAGCAGAGTACCTCAAGGCAATGTCAGGCCCCGTTCTTTTCCTGATCTTCATTAATAACATCATTGATGTAGTGCAGTCCATTATTAAACTCTTTGCTGACACCAAATTGATCGGAACCGACCACTCAGGCCTGCAAAATAATTTAAATAGCTTAATGGAATGGACAAGAACATGGCAGACGAACTTCAACCTCGACAAATGCAAATCTCTGCACTTCGGTTTCAACAACACCTACCATCAGTACCACATGACCTCAGACAGCGAAAATCCAACACCACTCAAACAAGACTCTGAGGAGAAGACCTGGGCATAATATTAAATTTAAAAATCAGTACGCATATCTCAGCAAGCGTGAGAAAGCCTAACAACGAGTCGGTATGGTTAAAAGAACTTTTAAAAACATAAGCCAGGAGATGCTAGTACCACTCTATAAATCACTGATCATCTTGAGTACGCAGTTACTGTTTGGCACCCAGTAAGCAAAAAATACATCATGATAGTTGAAAACATACAACGAAGAATAACAAAGTCAATACCAGAGCTGAAAAACAAAAAAATACCATGAGAGACTACGAATACTTGGATTACCTACTCTGGAATACAGAAGAAAAAGAGCAGATATCATCCAGGTTTTTAGATACATCACGAAACAAGATGCCTGCGCCAGCCCAACCCTATTGGAATTTTCTTCTGAAAGTAAAACCAGAGGCAACGTGAAAAAACTTGCCAAAAAACGATTCCGATCAGACGTCAGAAAACAGTTCTTTAGTACCAGAACAATCATCACATGGTACTCCTTACTAAACTTTGTAGTAAAGTCAGAAACACTCAACAAGTTCAAATCCAACATCAATAAAGCCTGGAAAGAACACGACACCAAATTCAAACCCAGTACCATGTTATAAAGTCCTATTTACCAAATCAATATACAACAAGTGACATATCAGTTTATCTCTATGCGCATCCCCCCAAAAAATAAAAAAAATAAAGTCAGTACCGAGGTTGTCAAAGGGGCTATCAGCTTACCATAGACAGAATAACAGTATATTACAGTCAAGTAACCTAATTTCGTGCTAACCTATTTTTCGTGCATTTCTCGAAAGGATTGATAATTTACATGTGCGACCTCGCGTGACCTTCGCATTTGGTTGTTTTGATAAACATGGGTTATCTCTACAATGTCAGCTAGTAGAATGAATCCAGAAGTTTCAAGCAAGGTAAAATATATCAATGTCTACTTTGACATTGTCGAGTTGGTTACTCATGAAATATGGGTCAAAGTGAGGGATCCATAAAGAAAATCGAAACAAACCAATTTTAATTATTTCGTAGCATATCTGAAGAAACATCTAAGACATAAAAAAATTCCATTTTTTAAATTGATGAAATTCGATGTTGAATCCTTATATGCACGAAATAGGTTACACCACTGTATATACAGTCAAGTAACCTAATTTCGTGGAAACCTATTATTCGTGGATTTTCGGAAATGATTAATAATTTACGTGAGCGACCTTGCGCGACCTCCGCATTAGTTTATTTTAATAAAAATGGGTTTTCTGTACAATGTCAGCTAGTAGAATGAATCCAGTAGTTTCAAGCAAGGCAAAATGTATTATGTATACTTTGACAAATACAAAATGGCGGATTTCACTTACTACCAAACGTCACCACTTTTTATTGGCCGAATTTCATTATAATCCCGAGCGGTAATCGGAATTCCAAGTATTGTCTGCTAGAATATAATCCAACGAATGAAATCACGTGATCAACTAGCAGATTCCGTGTCAGCAGAAAATTTCTATGGAACACAAAGTGGACCATATTCCTATGTTGTTTCAGTGACTTTTAGCAATAAATCACGCTACGTATCATATTTTGTCAGTCACTATTTTTTTTTTAAATCGTGGTTCTTTGAAGGAATTGTCACTGGTTATAATGAATTGATATTAAAGATAAATACTAAGAGAAGTTAATTATACCACTCGGTATCCATACAACGTGTTTTTCTAGACTTATTTATAGATCAA